ATTATTATTATTATTATTTGCCGTGGCGCTCCGGGGCGACTTAAAGATGATTGATGGTGCCATTTGACTTACAGGTGAGGAAAACCTCACCCACCATCATCGAGACGGCAATGTATGGCGAATTTTTTTAATCTGCATGTCATATCAACAGAAATTGAATTTCTATTAATATACCACACATCAAATCCTAAACCGAACCATGCAATTTAATTAAAAATCCACATGGTCCGGTCTGGGATTCGAAACCCAGCAGTCTCAGACTCATAAACTTGCCTATAAATGAATATAAGCGCGATAGACCGCTACACCACCGTCCCGATTGCGTAATACAAATATGTCAGATGATAAGTTGACGTCAAAAGAATATCAAAATACTGAGGCCACAAGGTGACAATTGAAGAATGAAGATAACAAAATCAAATGTATTCAAAACATTAATTAAATTATAAAATAATCTAAGAAAGAGGTATCAAAGCTCGAGACCAATAGATAGTTGAAAGAAGAAATAAGCAGTTTAAGTCGTTAAAGAGTTAAAGGCTATATAAAAGAAGTGGATGCCAATGAAAGATTCAATGCAAATAACAACAAATAGCTGTGGGAAAAGAAGAAAATTATAGGTTAGGGAAACTTGGGAAAATATAATTTTCGTTAGTTTGAATTTTTTCATTCAAGCATGTGAAATTATGATCATTAAGAGTTTTATATATTTTACAGATTGCAAGTAAATTCATGCGAACACCTTTATTCTCTATCTCTATACACCCCTTCATCTTCATCCTCATCCGTATTCTTTCTAGCAAACACGATATTACAGATATTACACTTATGGACCAATTCACGAATTAACTTGTCAGATCAGAATTGAAAACTACGCCCAGAAATACAATATTCCATCTACCCTCGCATCTACCATAAAAAAAATATTTTTACTAACTCTTTTCAATAGTAGTATTGATAAATTGATGTCTACACATTGCTATTTAATCTAGAATACATTGAAAATAAAATTAAAAGCAGTAAACGTTAAGATTATAAGTTAGAAATTAAAAGATACAAAAACATTTTTAAACGACTTTTTTTCATAAAACTCAAAAATAAGAAAGCTACAGAATTAAAAATCTTAATCCAGCCCAGGACTTGTGTATTATAAGTTACGCCAAATAATAGGTCTGTTTATAGTTTTATCTTTTTTCTTTGTTTATATTATTGTGTAATTTAGTCGAGTGTGATTTTAGTAGCTTGTTTATCTGAATTAGTAAATGTAAATTGTTCAGTATGATAAATTGAAAATAATGTGCGTTTAGAAAAATACATTTTAAATGTCATTAAAGATCCAAAACGTTCGCGGGTGATTGCAGAGCATGTGGGAGTAAGTCAAAGAAAAGTGCAGACAATATTGCGGGAAAATCAATTGTATTCCTTTCATATTTAAGGTGGTCTATCGCTACGAACTTGAATATTTCTCCGACAGAGTTTAGTTTTGTGAATGGTTCTTATAATGGCATGAATGTGAATAATATCATTTGCCATTACACATTATTTAAGTTATAGTTTCTTATTTTTGAGTGTTTTTGAAAAAGTTATTTAAAAAAGCTGTTTATTTTAATGATTTCTATACAAAGTTTAAACCCTGTGTAATTTGAGTGTAAAAATCTACGGTAGAATCTGAGAGCAGAATTATAATTATTAAATTTGGATATTTAAATTCTGACACAAACAGAACAAAACGTTCTCGGCAAAAAAAAACAGAAAAAAATTAACGCAGATATAAATTTAAAACACTTTTAAGAATATAATTTTCATTTAATATTCTTTAAAGGCCCTCGAAATTAAAAACGCACCGATGAACTTTCAAAGCTCCAAAGAACAAACCAGTTTATCGGGCGCTATGGTTTTTAATAATTTTTTCTGTTTATAAATTCATCAAGGTCTTGACTGAACCCTGTCGGAATACTTGTAATTAGTTTAGGAAGTTTTTTTCATTCTCTTTGGAAAGCGTTGGAAGAGCATTCAAAGAGAATTTATTTTACAATATCAAAGAAATGTTAATAATGTAGGCCAAGGTTTTGGAAATGTTGAGCTCGTCGCAGAAATTCTGAATACCTATTTGTTTCATTAGGAATTAGTCTCCTTCTAATTAAAATAAAGGAAACTCATAAAATAGTGGCGACGACGTGACAATGAGTATGCAAAATTGGTAAAAATTTCTCACACGGCCAACCTGATATTTAATTCGTTATCGAATTGATGATAAAACCATTACGCTGATTTTCTGCAACAAGAACAAAAATGAAAACAGAACCTGCCAGAAATTTTCATTTTCATTTGTTAGTATTGTATGTGTGAATAAAATGTAAGCGTCAAATTTTATTTCTTTTGTTTTGTAACAAAAAAATTCAAAACGGTGTGCGTTGCGAGTTGCGATGTTTTTACTCTTTATCGTTTCAGAGTGTAACTTTCAACCAAATAACATATTTTTAAAACGTTAAGGTGAATAAATAAATATCTCAGGGTGGAAACCTTCCCAAGATGTAGTGTTTTTTATGTTGAATACCATTTCATTCATTAATTTCTCCAATAAGTCTACTTGCACTCTGTATTTAATACAACTAACAAAGAATTAACAATAAATAAATATCTGTATCTACTGATATTGATGATATCGATATTGATGATATTGACGTATTACTTGTATTGTATAGAACCATCAAAATGGGTTCTCAGTTCTGAGTTCTCCATCAGTTGCGAAGGTGGCGACATGACATAACAAACGATATCGTATAAGTATGAAAAATTGGTAAAAACTTGTAACTGCACACATACATATTCCTAAATCTCGATGGATATCTCTTTCGGCTGAACTAGGGTGCATCGATAATGATATTAATTCTAAAACTTTGATTAAATTAAACGTTTTTTTTTATAACTGACGTTGAAGGCGTTTATCAGCCTTCTAATTTTTCCGATTTTACCCTATATAACTTTCTTTACTAAAAATCAATATAAAAAGATTGAAGAAGATGCTAGATGTCAGAGCTAATGTTTTCAAATAGGTACAATAAAAATTGTCATTCATTGCTTACGTATTGGATTTTATCCGTCAAAATTTGAAAGGCCCGTAATGAAATACCGACGTGTCTGTACAGCTCGTCGTCGTTTAAAGTTTTGTCACCTCATTTGTTCCGCGTTAGACATTTTCGGTAGGACCGTATGCGGGATATTTCGGTTGCACCCATAAATAATACCGGTGTGATAGATCGACTTTCTCATGGTTATTGCACTTTGGGGTAGGAATCCCATTAATTTTGAATTCTTTCTGTTATATTTATAGCCGTGAAGTTGCAGCGAAAGGCGTACGCCACGTGAAGTCATACCGAAAAACTATCGGATACGTTTATATAGCAATTTCAACGACCGAAAAAGAATCTCTGAAAACTTAGAGAATTATATTACAAAAAGAAAAACTTTGTTTTAACAACGGCACAGACGTTTATTTCCCTATTTTCACGCTTTACATTAAATGGTTTTACAACATGGTTTTTCGTCGACGTTACTGCATTTTCGACACTTCTTTACACATGCGCGTTTTTCAAACTTTTGAATAATTAGAGCAATAGATTGAGACGGAGTGTTGTTTTTTATAAAATGTAGCAATAAACAGAATGTATTTTCGCGTGACCTCTAAAGTATTATAGTTAATTCTAAAGTGCAGGAATCTATTTTGTTTTAATGGTTATGGATTTGGTAGGTAATTACTAAGTACTAGCTTTGTGGCTCATTAGAATGAAAATGACGTATACAATAAAGGTGACAACAAAAGAGAATAAGTGGGAGGCATACGTTCTTCGCTTATCAGTGGTCTTTATTTGTTTCACGTATACTCCTATTAACTTTGTCAAATTCATTGTAAAACAGAGGTTCCATGTTTGACTATCCGAGTCTGTATTTTAATAAAACGCGTATACAACATTTATATATTTGAGACCTCACCCTCTTCATAGTTATAATTCATATATCCGGTATTAAAACTAATGAAAGACAAAACTAAGTGAATAATGCAGTAAAACTTTAAAATTAAATTCCGCAGAAATAACAGTCTATGTTCTTGGAAACTACGGAATTTATGGCCAAGTTGTTAAAATGTTATGTCGCATATTAGCTATAAATATTTTTATTATATAAATAATATATAAAAAAAATCTGGCAGGTAGTACGTGACTTTCGTTACATAGTGATGGGTTTATTCATGTTATCGATATGCCCGCATGTTAAAATAAACTAAATTGATTTTATTAATTTAATCAAACATCGTAAAATTCAAATGCAATTATTAAATTTATGGGATTACTGTTTTTATTATCTCAATATAAATAAATTTATTAATAAATGAAACATTGTTAGATGAACCGTTCGATATATATTTTTTTTCATTTATATCAAGTCATTAAGACAAGAAAATGTCTGAGAAATTTGCTATGCCAAGGTCATAATATAAAAAACAAAAAAAGGAAAGAACGAAGAGCTGGCTTAGCGACATTTTAAAGACGTGTGTAAAAAAACTTGCTTAGAGGGAGTTGCAAAAAAAAATCCAAAAAATTACAAGCAGCGGGAGGTGGATGCTTTGGAACGAATGAAAATCGAAGAAGATAAATTATTTTTACAAAATCAAAGAGACCCAGAGTGTTTAGCGGGTGTAGACAAAAATTTTGCCGAGTAAGAAGAAAGGGCAAGACAGAGAAAATTAAAAAAATACAAAAAGGACATGAGCAAATGTGCTTCGGGAGTTTACCGTAATCTCTTACAACACAAGATTTTATACAAACGCAAGGACATCACGATCAACCTACCAGCTCTGATGAAACCCTTGAGGAACCCTTGCCATCCACCTCTCAAACGGTAACTTATGGAACTACTACAAAAAGGACAGACTTTGTCACGCCTAAGTTGCAGCTTTAGATAGATATCAATTAAGCATAAGGGATTCTGTTTATATACTTCAGGCTGTAGTAGAAGCACTAGTTCTTAGCTGTGATGATTTCCCGATAAACAAATCATCCATTCAACGCATTCACACACAAAGTAGAAAAGATAGAACGGAATCTATAAAATCAGATGGGAAATTATTACCTGAATTAGATGTGAGAAGTTTTAAAGAAGAACGCTTGCCAATTCTAATTTCATTTGGAGAAAAGGAACAACTTCTGGCTGTACCCAAACTGGAGAGCTTGTCCGGTCAAGATCAAGCTAAAGCTGTGTTAAACGCATTTTATGACTGGAACGTCGATGAGAAAGTACAAATAATGTGCTGTGACACAACTGTGTTTAATACAGGGCGATTGAAAGGAGCTTGTGTACTTTTGGAACAAAAATCAGACAGAGAATTAGTACGCTTTGCTTGCCGCCATCACGTTTACGAACTGGTTTTAAAATGTGTGCTCGAAGCAAAAATCCACCAAATCACAAGTAGCTCTGATATCAAAATGCTCACAAAGTTTAGATACAACTGGAAAACTATTAATCTTGCTGCTATTGAAACCTACACTGATATCGTCATACAACATTTTTGTTATACAACAATACAATAATTATTGACATTTTATAATCAAGAATTGCAAAAAAATCATTGTACGTGACGATTATCGGAAAATGATTGAACTATCAATTCTTTTCTTAGGAGATAATGAGAAAAAAATTAAAATCAGACCTCCTGGAGCGATGCATTAAGCTAGGTAGATGTCTAGAGCTATTTACTCTTTAAAAATATGTTGCAATCTCAGTTCAAAATTAGCCCAGGATAAACGAGCACTTCAAGACTGTTGTTTATTCATCGCGGTTATATATTTAAAACCATGGCTTCAATGTAATCTGGCGGTGAAGGCACCAAATCAAGATTATTGACAAGTTGATCTCTAAAGCAACCCTGAGCAAGTTTAGTCAACATCTTTGGTACTTGTCAGAAAAAATTGCCGTTCTATCATTCTTTAATGATGAAGTTGATGAACAAACCAAGGGAAACATTATACTGAACTTACCAAGAGAGAGTTTTTATGATTCTGGGAAGAGATACATTCCATCGAAATAAGATATGTCTAATTATTTGTATAGTAAGTAGGAATACATTAATATTTTCATGTTTTCACTAAACTGATAATAATACTGCCTTATTTATTGTTGCAGGAAAATTATTAAGTGATTTTGTGTCTGTCAAGAGTAAAAATTTATTTTCTCGATTAAAAATTGATGGGAACTTCCTCCAGAGACCCGTTTCTACAAAGATGTTGCCTATTTAGAGGCAAAAAAAGTTCTTTTCTTAAGGGCAGTTAATGATACAGTTGAAAGGACTGTAAAACTTTTTTCATGGGTTGATTACTGCAAAGGAAGAACAAAAGCAATTTTTGCTACGCTGTGTGCAAGAGCATAGAAATCTGTATCCAGACTGTAAAAAAGCGACCCTCAAAGGAAATTATCCTGCCTGATCTGTAACATTATCTTTGTTTAATAGTATCTAATCTTTTCGATTATAATTTTTATAAAATATATATTTTAATTGATTTAGCTGCATAAAGGAAGGTTAAAAACAGCATTTTTTTAAATCTTCAGAGCCCTGTTGGCACGGGTTAATGTAGACGTAGACAGATAAAATTTTGTATTTAAGTAAGTCTTGATAGTTTAAAAGGAAATACGGGGTACACCATTCGATTTCCGAAAAAAAAAAAAAATTTTATCCCTACAAGGGACACCCTAATCTATATAAATATAAATTTTGTCCTATAAAAGTAGGATCTACTTTCTTGGATTCCTATTATCGAGTCTCAAGTATATTTTGACAAATATCTGATGTTTCCAATACATTATTTTTCAGTAATGTTAACAAAAAGTTTTAAAACATAAATTAGAGATAAAAATTTTCCATATACATTTTATTTGAAACATTTTTTCATTGCCAACGAATATATTAACAAAATTAGAAGTTATACACTTTTTCAAATTTTTTCAATATGTACATTTCAAAAAAAATTATAAAGAATGACCTCATAAACAGCTCTTATCAGAAGAAATTTCTTGGGCATCAATATCTACAATTAAGTAAGGAAAACTATAAAGCCCACCAGACAACTGCCCGCGTAGGTGCATTCCACAGCTCGCAGGCATTATATGAGTACAAGGTATAGTTTGGGGTGCGCAATCTTTCAAAGGAGATGTAAAGCAGTCCATAGATATTGGATTCAATTAATATTCCTATCTCTTGTTGGAACACCAGAGAATTCGGAAAAATTCAAAAATATTTAAAGGTAGTGTGCTCACCATCGTCGGTATTTCTCCGTAGTTAGAAATAGACCGACGTTAAATAAATCATTAAAATCTCAGGAAGGACTAATGCTTGAGTTTTTCTCTTTGTCCGTTTTTGAGTTATCCTTATCGCACTTTACTTTTAATTCTGACTTCTCAAAAAAATTATCAATAACTAATCATTGATTTAACATATTTGTATATTACCTAAATCCTTTACGACATCGCTAACAGTTTATTCCATGTATGTCCGTAATTTTCTCCCACTCTATTACCTGACGAACACTCACTTATTCTTTTATTTACGACAACCATTTTTTACGTATTGATAGTTTTTATGTTAATATGCTGCCAAAGAAGACATTTTTAACGAGTCTACTACACGATCGCGATACTTTTATGGACTCTGGTAGACCTGGTGCTCGAAACACATTAAAAACATCGAAATGAAACAACGACTAACAATAAAAAAGGTTCTTAAAAGGGCCGTAAATATGATGCATATCTACTAAGTTGGATATTTATGGGGTGGTCCTTCGATGCGATGCCGAGTAGCGAGATTGTAGAAGTTTTGTGGAAGGATTTGTTGGCAGTATATAATAATTGGTTTATGTAAATCTAATCTGTATTGTGAAAAAAGTTTGTAGAATTTTAAATGAAAAGTAGACGACGTATAAAATAATAATTTGTGGTTTTTTAGATATAATAAAATACGTTGGAGAAAAAATGTTAAAGTTATATGAAGATACTTCACTTAAGGCAAACTTATGAGATTAACTAATTAAATAGACAAGACTTTAGGATTTCTATTTGAGAAATAAAAGGCGCTAGAAAATATAAAATTAGCTACAATTGCTGATAATACCTTAACTATAAGATCAACTAAAGAAAATACACCAGCTAATCTTTTGTGTCTACTGAAATCTATAAACGGTAGGTTACATCGAAGAGGTAAAAAAGGGTAAAAATACAGAACCAGTAAACCAAACCTGCACCTCTGTTTCACTACTTTTTTAAATGGAATTCATCTGTAGTTGCACCCTGAAATCGCAGTTTTGTCTGTTTTAATATCTTTAGTTAGCAGTTATTTAGTAATTTTAATTCCAGTACTATTTTTTCTCTGTTTCTGAATCAAACGTACTCTTAAAGTCCTCAAAAACTGCATTTACTATGTTACATTCTAATGTCTTCTGGTAGGTCTTCAGGTCAATGTCCTAAACTCAACTCAACCTATACAGTATTTCTAAATATTGACAGTAAAAACTAACCAAATTTGAATTAAAATAAAATAAATTATAAAAAATTACAGGAGCAGCTGAACGGACGTTGGCATTTATTAAAATCGTTTCCACACCAAAAAACGCATTCTCGAAAATTATGAGCGCCCATTAGCTTGTTTTAAAGGTACTTAATCAAAAACTATTTTTATCAATATTAAAACTCTTAATGAGTACATCATATTTCACGTTGTAGATCTATAAATAAATTCGTAAATATATCTTCGGTCGGGATTTATTTCTTTATAAACACGCTCGTAAATATTAAACAGATTCGTATTGAAATAAAACATGAACCGCATCGGTAGGCGATATCAGGAAATATTTCGAGATAATGATGGGTTTCAATTTAAAAAACTATCATCCCATTCACGTATGCTGATAGTCGGCGTATATGAAACATTATACTTTAATTTTTTTTGTTTAATTTCAATGTCAAGAGTTTGTTGATTGTGTATTGCTGGATATAAAAATAGTTGTTGAAGTTGTAACCATTTATAACAATGTCGTATTGGTTTTTTATTTATTTTTAGAGCAACATCACTTACATTAAGATGAGAGGACATACACTACAAGTAGAACTGAATTTTAAATAATAATTAAATGATACAGGGAGTGCTATATAAGAAAAATATCAAGTATGATTTTGGTAACTTGGAGAATAATCAAAATCAACAGTTAGATAATGTTTAAGGCAGAATGTGTTATATTATATTATAATTAAATGGATTAGTCTAGTAGCTTTTTGTCGTTTTATAATACCTATATATAAATTAACAGAAAAAGCCTTTTTTCTACACCCGTATTATAATAATGCACTTATATGCCCATAATCCGTTTCATAATGATACCCATTATGATACAGATTTTTCATTACGATACAGATTTTTAATCAATAGAAACCTACTATTTTTCAATCAAGCATGCTGTTTGACGTTTGTCCTAGGTTTCTATGTAATTGTTTTAGTTGTCAAAACGTATTAAATTTTCGTAGATAGCTAAACTTCGATAATTATAATATTAAAATGTCTCATATCAGCGATATCCACACATATCGGAGAAAGCAGAAAATACAGTACAAAATATTTTGCAGCAAAAATCTAGGGAAATACCAATACCCGAAGTAATACCATTAATTACAATTTTGTAGAATTTTTTATAGAAATACGAGTAATTACTGTTATTGTGTTCAATACTAATATAAATATAATATTTATAGGTCTTGATTCTTTATCGGGTGTAGAAAAAATAGCGTATGCAACTCTCATGTAATGGTTATTAAAACACTCGCATAGACCATACGAAACTCGCCTTTGGCTCGTTTCGTATCCCGGTTAATGCTCGTGTATTAATAACCATCATTACATGATCGTTGCATAATATACTATTGTTAATTTCATTCCATCGTTTATATCTGACATTTGCATAAATTTCTTTTAATAATGTAATGTCTCAAAATATATCAGTGTATATTTCATTAAAAAGAAACAAAACCATGATTACCGCGCTTTTTAGTTTCGACTTTTAACCATTAATTCATCCGTTGCTAAGTATAATCCTGATCTATATGTTGACGCTTGGCTTCCAGCTCTGCAATATGTTCTGTACCTACGTACCTATGCCTGTAATAAATCTACTGCATGATTACTAATTTCCTATTCTATAATTATAACGAACTAGTACCCACTTAATTCCTTCTCTCAGAGTCTTTATTTAGAAACAGAAGCCTCTTGGCAATTTAAGAAATAAAGGTACCTAGTCAGTCACAACTTTCTACCATTTATTTGTCACAACAGGATTAGTAAGTAGAACATCATATTTATATTTAAGAGAGTTTATTGTAGTCCAATATTAAATTTGAAGTAGGGTAGAGTAGAAGTGAGTTAGTTATTAATGCATTTGAAATTCGAGTATTAAAGTGATCATCAGTTCAGAAAATTTATGAAATGTTTACAGCCTTATTCACAAACGATCTGTAAAGTACAGTTACAGTAGACTAATAAATTTCTAATAGAATT